AGAGCGGTGGATGATAAAGCCAAGTAGGTTACCCAGCACTTGAAGATTCAAGAGCAAGTCTACATTTACCTTGAAAATAGAGAACAATTTGGTGGAATTTGTATCAGAGCCCAGAAAGAATCATAATGTAAATGTGAAATTGTTGCGTCAGAATGGGTATTACCTGCCTAAGAGGCCTTACTATCAATGGCGTAGATGAAGTATACCGCAGAAAAGTGGTTCCAACAAAGATGCCACCGCTCCGTAATATACGAGTGATTTCAGCAACCTGATAAATACAAGTAAATATTGTACCATTAGTTAAAAAGTAGATGTTAAACACATGGTTATATGATACATTGATATAGTGATTATAAAGTGGAGGAAAGTGATTCAGAATTCACTCCGATGTGCACAAAACAAGCAATAGAAGAGCTTAACAAGCATCTAGTTGGTATGAAAATAGTGAACCATGTCGCAGCTAATTCCAAAATTGTTCCACCCCCTTCAATTAGCAATAAAGATAACAAACACCACATTTATCCATAAAGGACCCAGCTACCAGTAGTTGCAGCAAATGAAAAAAGAAGGTGCTACTTTGGTCCCAATAAAAAACTGCAAGCTTGAAAGGCCATCCACCATGGTTGATCTTATTAATTAGAGTGTATGATAAGGGAAAAACTCAATATAATATGTGTTTGTGTGTGTGTGTGTGTATATATATATATATATATATATATTGTATCTGGAAACCTCCAACTTGAAAATATTGCTGTTTGCTACAGCCAAATGTATTGTTAGTTACAGCTTAGTTTTTCTGTTAGAATCAGCTATTTGCTATGATCACTCATCAGAACCAAAACTATTCCATCTTTATTAATTTATTCAGTGCCCAAAAAGGTGTCAGCTGTCAAGTGCTATTTGGCATCTAAACGTTAGATGGGTACATGCAGCCCCAACGCCACATGCAAATAGCGACTTAATCTTGAGGTAGGAAAAATAAAATTTAAATGATGCGTAGTTAAAAAGTATGAACCTATTATAAAAAAAATAATAATAATAAAATAATAAAAAAAAACACTGTAAACTTGGGCCTTTTTTCTTAGATACCTTTACGTGAGTAACAAGTACTAGAAATGCCCTGTTTTTACAATTGCAAACCCATTACTTGGGATTATCTCCAAAACCAAAATTTGGCTTCAGAAATGGCAGAAAACATTCTGGAGCAATTAGGGAAAGAATGTGTTTTTCTAGGACTTTCTTCACCTATACATGGATCCCTGAGAAGAACAAAGACAAGCTGTTTTTCTTTCGGAAGGCAGAAAGGGTATACAAACATATAATGAATTCAGATCAGGCTGGTTTTAGCGTAAAGGAAAGATTTATGTCTCTTTTCATTATCACACAGAATTTCGGTTAGATTAACCTGATTATTCTGGAAGGCTTAAGTTATAGGCATTAGCTAACATGAAGAGGAAAACCAGAGGAAATAATGCTTACAGCATTCGTAGGAGAAGGCCAGCAATGCAATGCGGCACCGGCATGGACAGCGTCGACTGAGCCTGATGAGAATGGAAGCCTTGAAACATCTGCTCTCACGAGAGCAAGATTACTGCACAGTTTGAACATAAGCATGATGAACCTCTTTTTTCTTGTACAAAAACTGAGGAAAAAGAAAACAAGAGCATTTTCATCTAAGACACATAACTTACCTATTTAAAAGGGCACCATCTCTCTTAATGAAGTCGTAACACTGACGAAGCATGTTTTCAGAAAAATCAAGTGCAATCACTGCAGAATAGGTCCCAGATTTGGCAAACTTTCTGGAAAATAAGCCACTCCCACAGCTAACATCTACTAGAAGACCACCTTCAACAGATTTAAAGTAGCCTTGAGCCATTTTAAACTGCATGGAGTTTAAAGCATCATCTCAACAAAAGGGGAAAAACTAATAGATACAACAGGCCATGCAAGCTATGAGCCAAATAACTTAATGGACAGAAACATGCATTTTAAGATAACTTCCATTTGGATTTTTTTTTTTTTCTTCGGTATAATAACTTCCATCTGGATTACTTATTGATCCAGTGTGCACAAAACAAAAGACAATCTACAATGCAAATGGTAATGTTAATGCTATATTTGGCACAAAAAAGTGTGAAAATGGCATATTTTATATGTTCTATTTCGTGCTTCCATATATAATGCTGTTTCAAGTGCTTTATTTACCTTTTGTCGTAAATTTTAAACTCTGTAACTTGTAAAAGTGAATTTTTAATTTCTAAATAATTTGAAAATAGCAACCAAGTATCAAAATTTGATACATGTTACATATGTTGCTAAATTTGACATGGCATAACTCGATTTATGCATTAACTATAATATTACTTTAGACAATCATTTCCTTACCCATATGCCAAATTTTGGCATTGGAATAGAAATTGGTATTGAATTGGACATACTTTAAGGAACTTTTTAAACCAAAGAAATAGTTCCAAATGGAAGCATATTACCTCTTCATCAGGGCCAGGAAAACCGCTTCTGTTGAAATTCTGACGCCACCCTCTTTCGTATAAGAATGAAACAAGAGGGCTCCTATTGAATTGATCAACAACCAAGGAAAACACATGAGAAGCATTCCTCTGATCAGACAATAATATCAACTCACGTAAAGCGTAACGTCTTTTTATGACTGGACTAAAACCATACGTCCTCAAGCTAGAAACAAAGAATTGAAAGAATTTTCGTCCCAAGAAGAGACACAAAACGAAATCACTCGACGCTTTCTTGGAATGCAAAGTTTGATGGTAAAAGTGAACAGTGGACTCCACCTAAGTGGCAGCCAATGATACATCACTGCTAATCTTCCCATATGAAAACCAAATGTATCTGAAAGTCTTAGGGTTAACCCTATTTTTCAGTCTCTGAACTGAAATATAGAACAAATTCAACAAATTCCATTTTAGTCTCAAAATAAGTCTCCAAACAACTAAGCTGTTTCAAAAATAGTCACAAGTGGACCATGTGCGGAAAAAAGGCACAAGTGGACCATGTGCGGTTTATCAGAGGTTACTTTTATAATTTCACATTTTAAGGCACAACTATTAAGAACAAAACTCCTTTCTTTTCTCGTTGAGATTTTATCAACAGGAGGACAGGACTAGTTTGGGTTAGAAGTTCAGGATGTGTCTTGAGATGTTTTAAAAGTTAGTGACAAAAATAAGATTTGGCAAAAAATAGATTTGGTTCAAGAAGTAAAAATGGAGTTAGTCCAAAAGTCTTAGCAAAAAATTACACATGATTCCGCAACTTAAATGTATGAATAATTGGGTAAGTTCAAGAAAGTTGATTTCTTGTCAAGAATAAAAGCATAAAAATGGTTTCTTTTTCTTTTTTCTTTTTTTTTTCTTTTGAAAAAACAAAAAAGTTAACAAAAATGAATGCAATACCGGAATAACTCAGTCCCAGCTGGTTTCACCTCCGTGTAGTCTCTCAACCCAGCAGTTACAGTCAAATCCAAATATATGTCTTTACTTGAATATGACTTGTTACATTTTTTGCACTTGAATCCCGACCTGTATATTGCTTCCCTGCAAAAATTTAAAAAATTAAAATAAATAACAATTCAATACCCAAAAAACTCCATTTTCTTTAAATACATTGAGAATCACCAAAAAAAAAAAAAAAAAAAAAAAAAAAACAATGCTTTTGAAATTCAATTAGAAACTCACAAATTAAGGCCAGAAGGTCCTTTTCTAATCAGCGGTTCATAACACACTGGACAAGCAAACACCTCAGAAACTTCCGAACTCCGATTTTCCTCAACGCTTGAACTCTGCAATTCACAGAATTACGGAAAGATCACGTCTTTTTTCTCTTCAAATTCCCAGTAAATGATTGCTAGGAAAGCGAGGAAATACCGGTTCTAGGGCAATCACGGAGCTCGTCGCGCGAATGGTGGAGAAGCGGACGCCATTAGAGGAGTATCCGAGACGAGGACGGAATTGAGAATTGCGACAGAGTTGTGGGTGTTTTGGGTATAAAAATGGTTTATGGAGAGTGGGTTGAAGAGATGAAGAAGCCGCCGTCGCCATGAAAATCGATTATCAAACTCCAAGTTTGTCGCTCTGGTATTCGAGATAGAAAGATATCGATTGCGTTGGCTGTTCGGTGGTTTGCCGCTCGTCGTGTGGTTATGGAGATGAGGACAAGGTGTTTGTTGTTTTGCGTCAATGCCCGGTGTGAATGTGACCCTGTACGTGAAATTGGCGGGTTCTATTCCCGCTACGCACCGCGATTGTGCTCCTCAAAATTATTGATCATTGAATATTGGAGAATAAAATAAAATAAAACCGTTTTTTTTTTTTCAACTTGGGGTGGGATTTAAACCTGTCGAGTCAAATGTGAAATTATGAAATAAGAAATGAGAAACCAACATTATTAAATTTAAAAAAAGTCAGAAGAATTGATTCCGGCTCAGATCGACAGCTGGCAAAGGATCAACAATTGCGATAGATGAAGCGGCGCCAACCTACACAATAAGATATACATGAGATTGCAAAATATATATGGCGTAAAATTTAAATTTTATTATAATAAAAAGTTCTTAAAAATATTTATATTTAATTTTTTTAAAACAATAAAAAAATTTTATATAAAATTATATTTCAACTCAAATTAAAAATTATACATACTAAATAGACTCATATATATTTAAATAGGTACACTTTTAGGCCCCGTTCATTTCGCCGATTCGAGTTTAGAATTCGAGTTTTGCTACAGTAAAAAGCTCTCAGAAACAGTCACATCTAACTTTTTTGCTACAGTAAAAAGTTCTCACACAAAATCACATCTCAACTCGAATCAGCGAAGTGAACGAACCCTAGGTCATCTAAACTCCAATAGTCTTGAGAACTCACAACACCTTGTTCTTTTAAATTAATTAATAACTGGATTGAAAAGAAAATTAAAGAAGAAAGCAAGCATGTATAGATAAATACAATTCTCAAAACAAGTTAGAGTTAAGGTCTCATTCATTTTACCGATTTGAGTTTTCAGTTCTAGATTTTTTACAGTAAAAAGCTCTCAGAAAATGTCACATCTCAGCTCGAATTGAAAACTCGAATCCGCGAAGTGAAGGAGGCCTAAGAATTTCTCGATCCATATTCTTAAAAGGGGATCAACATCACTCGAGCAATATATCAGTAAGAAGCTCTTTATGTAACTAAAACTCAGTTAAAGCTTGAGAAAACATGAACACAAAGCAAATTAAGGAAAAAATTAATTAAGCAACTTGTTCAATGGTGGTGAGCTCAGTGCGTTCCATTATTGTTGAGAGCAGAAATTGAGAACCCAAAAGATTATTAGATCAAGGTTTAAAAGTTTAGAGACAGAGAGGGACTCCATAGAAAATAAGAATCACAGAAGAGGAAATGACAAAATTGTGGAATGCTTACCCTTGTTTGTCTGCTTCTGTGGACTGGGTTCGTGAGAACTCCGTAAATGCAGAGAAACAAAATGATGGAAAAACAACATCTTCAATTTTGATTTTAGGATACAACCATGAGTTCATAACAAATATGTCAATACAATAGATTACTGAATTCTACAGCAATCTAAATTCAAATAAAAAACAATGAATTTTCAAGCAAATAAATAATGTAAATTCAAATTGAGTACAAAACTAAAAATAAACACTAGTGTCTAAACTAACAGATAGTGTGTGCAATTATAGTAAAAATACTACAAATCACAAACTAAATAAAAGATGGAGAGAAGAAACAGATCTCAGAAAGACAAATACCTTAGCCACATTGTAATTTTATTGCACCAACTTTTTAGATTTAAATTTCTTATTGTAATGTTTTACCAAAAGTCTTGAATAATAATAGCAAATGAAAAGCCAAAAGATTTAAATCAGAGATTATAATCACTAAGGAATGGAACAAAAGAAACTGATGGGGAAAGGTAATCTTTAGGAAGACCGAAAACGTTGTTGGAAGTGGATAATATCTTGTAGACAATAACTCCTTAACAAGGAAACATATCAACCAGCAAACCACGATAAAATTCATAGTATTAACTAAAAAAGTGAATAAGAATTCACAAAATGAAGAACCAAGATAAAAGCAACACATAAACATTCTTTAGCAAAACCTGACCAATAGAAAAATTGTACTGTAGTAAACAACAACGATTTTTCTCCAACTCTTAACCTCTTTACCTAATAGTTTCCACAAATTTGAACATTGCTATAGTGCAGCCAGACAAGTACTAATGTGCAAATTTTATAACATTATTTAACTTTAAAGAAAAAGACATATTGAAGAACCAAATTTAAAGCATAAACAACCTAAATCAAGATGTATATACAAATGCAGGACAATGAAAGAGAATGTGCAATTTACTTATAATGAATAACTCATTAGCAATTTTTGCTTCACAGAGAAAAACATATAAAAAATACCTCTTCCTTTTCCCTCATAAGAAACCAACATAACACACGCGCACATATATATACACTATTTTGATACATGTGCTACGCACGCGTGAGCAATTAATAATATATGCACTAATCGTGTTTTTATAGTTTATTATCGCACTATCGCTTTTCACCATTTTTTTAAGGTCATAAATTATGTCCATTAAATTATACTTCTTTTTCTTATTGCAAACACATTTTGAGAAGAATGAATATTTTCAACTTCACATTCTACGTTAATTTTATGATTTTGGATGAATTATTTTTGACACGTGATGTTGGATTTAGTAGGGTTAAAATTTTGAAAGTAAAGGATCCTTTAACTCATCCTTTCATCACAAATGTGTAGATAAATACAATTCTCGAAACAAGTTAGAGTAAGAATTTCTCAATTCATATTCTTGAAAGGGGATCAAATTATTGACGACATCACTCGAGCAACATATTAGTAAGAAGCTCTTTATGTAACTAAAACTCAGTTAAAGCTTGAGAATACATGAACACAAAGCAAATTAAGGAAAAAATTAAGCGACTTATTCAATGGTGAGCTCAACGAGTTCCATTATTGTTGAGAGCAGAAATTGAGAATCCAGAAGATTAACGTTTGGAAAGGGGATTCGTGCCATGATTCGAATCATGGTTCGTGGTTCGCTACAGTATTTTCTCTCATAAAAAATACACGTAAAACGAGAATGATTCTGAATCTATGAACCAAACGTCAGAGAGATTCCATAGAAAATAAGAATCACAGAAGAGGAAATGACAAAATTGTGGAATCAAGAATTGGCTTACCCTTGTTTGTCTGCTTCTGTGGAATGGGTTCGTGAGAGTTTCGTAAGATTAAAATTTTAAAAGTTAAAGATCCTTTAACTCATCCTTTCGTCACAAACACGTTTCATCATTGATCTGTTGAATTTTAAGCTCTTTTTTAAGGTCTCTTCGGTAAATAAGTATGACTATGGCCTCGTTCGTTTCGATGATTCGAGTTTAGAATTTGAGTTGAGATGTGATTGTATGTGAGAGCTTTTTACTGTAGCAAAAAAGTTAGATGTGATTATTTGTGAGAGCTTTTTACTGTAGTAAAACTCGAATTCTAAACTCGAATCAGCGAAACGAACGAGGCCTATAATTCAAACAATTGTATTAGCTTGTAGTGTTTTAGACAAATACCCGTTTCAAAAGTTCTTGCTATTTCTCTCTCTCGAGGATTGATTTCCTAAAAAAAAACTCTTTATATTCTTTATCGAGAATATCCTCATAAAAAAGCATAACTTCGCCTAATTTCGAGCTCTCTTTGCAAACGAATCATGAGTTCTCTCTGGATGATTGTACAACTAGACCCAGACAAGCTCTTAATCCACATTGGCTAATATTTATCTTTAGAATACAAATCAATTAAAACAACTAAACAACAAATATATATTTGTTCCATATTTGTACCAGAGAAAAACAAAGTATACAAAGAAAGGAAACTTGACATGGTTTCTAAAGAAAGAAGGAATATATATATATATATATATATTCATAAATTGATTCATATTGTGAAGGTTATGAAGCCTTTCTTTATTTCATGAGTTTAAATAAAAAAGTTTTGATTCAAACTTTTCTATAACAGACAACCTAAAAAGAATTTAAAAAAAATTGAAATTTATGTTTAAACAATGCTACACAAAAGGCCTTAAACGTCACCTAGAAAAATACCACTTTAGACGCCCCTTTTTCGGGTGACATCTAAACCTCCTTTTAGACGTTGCTTGTCGGATGACATACTGAAACTCCCTTAACAGTGTGCATTTAAAGACTTTAGAGGTCGCTTACTAAACATGCGACATCTAAAATCCTGTCAGCTTACTATTTAAAAGCTGTCTAGTTATAGCCTCATACGCTTTATGTACTTTCAATTCTTGAATTCACTATACAAAAGAAAAATAACTCTTAAATGCATATCAAAGAATCTATAATTTTTACAATATTCCAATTAAGTAATCAAAGATTAAAAATAAAATGGTTCATAAGATTCAGTGACTCATACTACCAACAAAATAGAACACTTGCACACCCATAAGAATGTGAAAAACAAAGGAAAAAAAAAAGGAAAAAACTCCTTATGTCTTGAGGGAAGAGTCAAATACTATTGCTAATCTTTCATCAATACTAATTTGGACCCGTTACATTTTCAGCGAACATTGATCCTTGATCGAGCTCTACTTGCACAAAAATTAAAATTATTCTTTAGTGTCTCATTTTATTTGTAGATCATAAACTGAATAACAAAAGAAAAACTGAATAGTCACAACATAAAATAAATTTTAAGACCAACCCTATGATACTCAAGCCAGAGCCCTGTTGATCACATGCAGCCAAACATTTCTCAACTTTTGCTATTTCTTCCTTGCTAAAAGATTCCTCTTTAACCTAGCAAGCTGACGCTCATTCTATCCAAGGATTCAAACAGGGGTAAAGAGATGTAGACATTCAACAAAACGGACACAAATGTAATTTTTGTACTACTAGCAACACATCAATGTACATACTAGACTCTATAGCTTCAATGCCACACTTTAGGACACTATGGGTGTGTTTTGAATTGTTTTTTAGTTATTTTTGAAAACGTTTTTGCACGTCTTTTAAGGTATGAAAACAAAAACGGTCTACAAATCGCGTTTGTTTAATAAAAGCTTTGAAAATGGAAACGAAAACAAAAAACAATGAGAATGATTTTTGTGAAAAAAGTTGAAAGTTATTTTCTCTTTTCCGTTTTCATTTTCTAGTATGTATCAACAATGTTATATTAAATAATTAATTATTAATTACTAATTGCATTATATATTAATTAATAATTAATAAATAGATATACATAATAACTAATAAATAGAAAGTAATTACTTAATTATTAATTAAATATTAA